TCGACACTTGTATATTCCACTTCCAGATTCCTCAAACTATTTACTATGGATGTGAACCTATCATGCATCTCCTTGATAGATTCATCTGGCTTCATTAAAAAAGCGTCGAAATATTGCTTGAGGCTGTTTATTCTAAAAAAATTTACATGAGATGTACCTTCGTGAGCCATTTGTAACTTGTCCCAAATTTATTTTGTTATCTTGCATCCAGAGACATGATGATATTATTCTGGCCGCAACGCACAATACATCAGATTGGTTGCCTTTGAATTCAATCGAAAGTTCTTCTTATCCTCATCGGTCCATTTTCCTCGAGCTTCCTTCACTTCCAACCACCCATCCAGTTCGATGTTCCAAAGATCATGATTAGTTGAGCCGATGAACAGCTCCACGCAATTTCTCCAGTATCCATAATGCACTCCTTCAAATCTTGGTGGTCGTGTCTGAGAAAATTCGTCCTCCATGAAGATTCCTCCTGCATTTGCGCCCGAACCCATGTTCTCCGGTGGTGGTTAGACCTTCTTCGTCGGAGTCGGGCTCTAATACCACGTGTTGGTGGAGTCGAGCACGAGACTTTCTACTTCCTTTTTCAGAGAAGTCGAAGAACCGTGATTTGAATGAAGATTTTAGACATCAATTTTGTAAGTTAGATCGACAAAGTAACTATTGAAGCTGAAGACTTTTTGTTTCGGAAATCTTAAATAAAAACCAAATAAGACTAAATCGATATTGGGCTTCAAGCCCAAGGTTCTCGTATTAAGTTTTTGTGGCTCAAAAAGATTCTTTCTCTTCAGCAACCTAAGTTGATTTATTTGAGCAAGTTCTTATCCCTCCTCTGCTTTGATTCCCTATTTCAAATCAACCTGCAAAAACAGAGACTCCAACCAGAAACAGAGACTAACTAAAGTCTTGATTAGATAAACTAGAAAATAAATTGACACAGAGAATTTTTACGTGGTTTCCGATACTGATGAATCGATATCGACTAGTCCACAACCAAAGGAATTATGCTTGAACCCTTTGACGTTTCATTATGATGATTTGTATCCGATTTACACAATGCAACAAATGATCTCTAGGTGACTTATAAGAATCCGCTTCAAAGCTCTACTCCCTGCATTCTGACCTGATGTCACAACCTCTAACTCTCGAGCTATCTCCCTGACAACTCTCTCTTTTTCTTTTTAATTACAAGGTTATGTAACCTAATTGAATTTTTCCTGAAAAACATGTGTTTCTATTCTACCCATGATCTCATCTTTTATAATCTACTCTTGCTGACCGTTTGCTCACTGATTTGAGAAATCAATTTGGTTTCTTGATTACTGTAATTTATCACCATTTCAGGACTTTCCCTTTTGGTTCTTTAAGATAATGCGGTTTTTTATCTTTCCATAATTTCTCGGTGCTATTGACTAAGCTTCACTCAACAAGAACAAACTAACTACTAGTTGATTTAAATTGGTTTTAACAAACAAGGCCCTATACTATCCCCCTCACAAAGCCCGCTTCGGCCTTCATCTCTCAAAACCCAGCAACACGGTCCAACTTAGTGAGACTAAAACTCACATTTGGGCTTCTTCGTGCGGCCCAATAAGTTATTCGCCTATAATCATGGAAAGGATGAATCCGTCTAATAAAATGTGTGTTCAGCTTTTTGTTACGTCTCCTCTCTCGCTCTTTTCTTCTTCTCTGCCTTAAATTCGCGAGCAAGAGTTTCGAATATCGATCGATCAAGATGAAGAATTAGAGGCATTGAATCAATCATTCAATCGACGCAACTACTCTCTCCCTCTACTTACTCGCTCAGATCCGGCGAAGAGTGATATCAGAAATGGCGTCAACGTTTAGCGGCGACGAGACTGCTCCTTTCTTCGGCTTCCTCGGAGCCGCATCCGCCCTCGTCTTCTCCTGTAATTTTCAGAACTTTTCGATTCCCGATTTCCGATTCAATTACTGTAGATCTAGGAGAATTGATCTTGGATCCGCGGTTGCGCTTGTGTAATTTGATGTCACAGGCATGGGAGCTGCCTATGGGACCGCGAAGAGCGGGGTCGGAGTGGCGTCGATGGGGGTGATGAGGCCCGAGCTGGTGATGAAATCCATTGTTCCGGTGGTTATGGCTGGTGTGTTGGGTATCTACGGTTTGATTATTGCTGTGATAATCAGTACTGGGATTAACCCTAAGGCCAAATCGTACTACTTGTTCGATGGATACGCTCATCTTTCTTCCGGGCTCGCCTGCGGTCTTGCGGGTCTCTCTGCTGGTATGGCTATCGGGATCGTAGGGGATGCTGGTGTTAGGTAATTCCCCCAAATCTCTTATGTGGCCTTTGTCTTCCGGCCTCAAGTTGTGATTCTGCAATCTGCAGTTTGTGGCAATTAAGATTGGGGATATTGAATGTGAGATTAGAAGAGTGAAAGATTGCTGGTAAACATTTGTGATTCACTAAGTATTTGAGGATAGTTTTAGGGGAGCATCTCGAGATGACACTATAAGTGCCGAAGTTCATAGTTCAATTACTAGTCTGCTTCCCGGTAGAACTAGGTTGACATATCAAGGCTTTGCATACTATGTGAGGGGTGGGCCCGTGTCTGCTCCTGCAGAATGAAAAGCATTTATGGTTTTGCTCCCCAAACCAAATTAAAGCTCTGTAGATTGTTTCATGGCGATACCTCCCAATTAGTGATAGAGATCTCTTTAGGTGCTGCTTTTGTTGTATAGTTCAAAATTATGGTTATAGATTAATGGTGCTCAAGCCTTAGCATATTGTCTACTGATTTGGTTCCGTATATGGCGTTCTGCTACCCGGGCAACTATAAAGCTCTGTAGATTGACTTGTTGCGTCTCATGGATGTTTGGTTTGCTTCAGTATGATGACTTGTTGCGTCTCACTTTCTTCAATCCCCTACCTTTTCACATATCATTGAAACCCGATTGGTCGTTGGCAGTCTTCGGATTGATTCATCTTTTTCTGGTAAAGAACCTCCAAAAAGATCATAGAAGAAGCTGTCTGTTCTGGCATTTTGTATTGAATCAATTGCCTGCCATTATGTCCCGGTCATTTTGCAGCTAGTTCTATGCTTTTACATACGTGCGGTGTACTTATTCCGCTATATCAAAATATGTCAGTCCTGTGCTGGTATTCATTCCACCGATTTCTCAACACAGAATATTTGTTATGCTTTGCAGGGCCAATGCACAGCAGCCGAAGCTTTTCGTTGGGATGATTCTGATTCTCATCTTCGCTGAGGCGCTTGCTCTCTACGGCCTTATTGTTGGTATCATCCTTTCTTCCCGCGCTGGACAGTCCAGAGCCGAGTGAAGAAGAAATGAAAGACGAGGATGTTCCAATTGTCTGGTTGATTGTGTTGTCATTTATTGGGGAAAAATTGATATCGGGTTCTGTTAGACTTCTTTTTGAAGCTGTTTTTGGTTTAGCTCTATGGTTGGATACGTGGGGTGTACTACTGCCAGATAGACGAGTATTATTTCTATCACGGTAAAATTGTACTACTTAGATTACATGTTGCTGCCGCTGCAGCCATAGCAAGTTTATTGTCTTCGTGTTGCTGTCTTGAACTGGTTTTTGACCCGCACGATGTGATTATATGACTCTTGTTTCTCGGATTCAATATGCTTAGATATATAAATGTCTGTTGGAGTTGACTAGTGCAACTTCTATGTACGTTTGCTCCACTTTGAGTGCTTAGTGGAGAAAAGGTTAGGGAAAGTAGAGAATTGGATTAAGGTAATTGATTTAAAATGTTACAAACCTCATAAGTCATAACCAATCCGGTTTTGTCTGCTAAGGGATAGAACCAGAAAGTTGGTCCAAGTCTGGGCCACCGGTTGGCCCATACCACCTTGAACCAAATGTTTGGTTATTGTTGGGAGTGTTACTAAATACTCCACGCGCGGACTAAATAAGGGTGCGCTCAATCGGTAACGTGCTCCGGACGAACGCCACTACGAAGTATTTAAAGGCATGAAACTCCCCATTGAAGGGGGACCTTTCTCTCTCTCCTCACTTTCCACTTTCTACTATCTCTCTACACTTTATCTCTCTATCTATTCTCTCAACTCTCTCCACAAACATACACTAACTTGAGCGTCGGAGCTTAATCCGGGGGGCAACCCCGACTCTTTCACAGGTTTCTTCCCTCCCGACGAGATCAGACGAACGGATGACGAGTCAACCCACACAACAAATATCATTGTTCATGCCTCGAGCTAGTAGGTTCAAACAATTGGCGCCCACCGTGGGGCAACTCATCAATTTCGTTCATCTGATTTCCGAGGGATAGAGGACGCAAAAACAAAGGAGGCTGCTGCATTGGTAAGAACATTTTCTCCAAGAAACAGAAAAGTTGCCCTCCTTCTAGCGCCATGCTCCATCCAAATTTCGGTCGCCAGAATTTTGACGATTAAAAGCAGAAGTCGGCTGTCCCGTCGAGAATAGTCACATCATCCGCATACAGCTTTTCCCAAAAAAAAAAAAATACAAGGGTTACCACTACTTTCTCCTTGTGTCAGAAAAAGAAAGGCACAAGCATCGATGCAAAGTAATAGGCAAGTGGATGGCAGGCTGGAAAGTGGATGAAAAAAAAAAAAGGTCTGCTACAGCCCGCCGCGACGAGCAATTTTTCTGCTTCTTGGTGTTCCCTGTGCTTCACCCAATCCCGCTTCCACCCTCAGCCCGCGCGGCCCAACCAAGTCGCGGCCCGAGCCGCGCACTGCACCAGCCCGTGTCACCAAGCGCGACCCACCAGCTCGCGCGACCCAACCAAGTCGCGGCCCTCGCCGCGCACTCCACCAGCCCGCGTCACCAAGCGCGACCCACCAGCCCGCGCGGCCCAACCAAGTCGCGGCCCGCGCAGCATCCATCAGATCAAAGCACTTTTCAAAAAATCTTATCGGCGCGAGGACTCGAACTCGCGCCAGTCCTCCAACAGGCAAGCATCATTGCCAGCAGGCTACAAGCGAGCCTTGTGCTTCAATGGTGCAACGCCTGCATTTAAACTACTTCGCGCGGCCCACCAGCTCGCGCGGCCCAACCAAGTCGTGGCCCGCGCCGTGCACTCCACCAGCCCGCGTCACCAGGCGCGACCCACCAGCACGCGCGGCCCAACCAAGTAGCGGCCCGCGCCGCGCACTGCACCTGCCCGTGTCACCAAGCGCGACCCACCAGCCCGCGTGGCCCAACCAAGTCGCGGCCCGCGCAGCATCCATCAGATCAGAGCACTTTTCAAAAAATCTCGTCGGCGCGAGGACTCAAACCCGCGCCACTCCTCCGACAGGCAAGCATCATTACCAGCAGGCTACAAGCGAGCCTTGTGCTTCAATGGTGCAACGCCTGCATTTAAACTACTTCGCCGCGTCACCCTACAGCCCATGCTTGCGGCCCACATCACCGCCTGTCCACCTCGCGCGTCATGCGGCCCAACTCGCGCCCCGCATCCAAGACGCGCCACATCAAAAATATTATTGTCACCGCGAGGACTTGAACCCGCGCCATCACTCCATCTCACAAGACATACTGCCAGTAGGCTACATACAAGCCTTCTGCTTAAATGGCGCAGAGTCTGCCTTTTAACAACTCTTCGCGCCGCTTCGCACAAGTCAACCTCCGCCTGACCTCCAGTCCTCCACTCCGCGTCAGTCCCAACTCGCGGCCCGTCCGACTCACCCGCGTCACATTAAGCCCGCAACAAGCGCACGGCCCAACTCTCGCCCCGCATTCAACAGGCGCCCCATCAAAAATAATATCATCACCGCGAGGGTTCGAACCCACGTCACTTCTCCGCGTGACAAGCAACAATACCAGTAGGCTACATACACGCCTTGTGTTTCAATGGCGCAGCATCTGCCTTTTAACAACTCTTCGCGCCGCTTCGCCAATAGAAAGCTAAGTACTCTATCCCTTTATCACTATCAAATATTGAAATATTTTACTCTCATGAGCGTTAATGGCGCTAAGGGAGAGGGCACATTGCCTCGAAGACTCCAAACTGAGGGTTAAAAACCCCGACGAGGAGGGCTCCAAACTGAGGGTTAAAAACCCCGACGAGGAGCCACAAATAAGTCTCAACGAAGCACACAAATAAGACTTCAATAAGAGCATCGAAGACTCCAAACTGAGGGTTAAAAACCCCGACGAGGAGGGCTCCAAACCGAGGGTTAAAAACCCCGACGAGGAGCCACAAATAAGTCTCAACGAAGCACACAAATAAGACTTCAATAAGAGCATCGAAGACTCCAAACTGAGGGCTAAAAACCCCGACGAGGAGGGCTCCAAACTGAGGGTTAAAAACCCCGACGAGGAGCCACAAATAAGTCTCAACGAAGCACACAAATAAGACTTCAATAAGAGCATCGAAGACTCCAAACTGAGGGTTAAAAACCCCGACGAGGAGGGCTCCAAGCTGAGGGTTAAAAACCTCGACGAGGAGCCACAAATAAGTCTCAACGAAGCACACAAATAAGACTTCAATAAGAGCATCGAAGACTCCAAACTGAGGGTTAAAAACCCCGACGAGGAGCCACAAATAAGTCTCAACGAAGCACACAAATAAGACTTCAATAAGAGCATCGAAGACTCCAAACTGAGGTTTAAAAACCCCGACGAGGAGGGCTCCAAACTGAGGGTTAAAAACCCCGACGAGGAGCCACAAATAAGTCTCAACGAAGCACAAAAATAAGACTTCAATAAGAGCATCGAAGACTCCAAACTGAGGGTTAGAAACCCCGACGAGGAGAACCCCAAACTGATGGCTAAAAAAAAAAAAACCCGACGAAGAGAGCTCCATGAAGAATCTACAAGGGGCGAAGGCTACACGCCTTAATGAAATACACCAACTGGGGGGCAAGACGCAAGAAGCTAGCACCGCGTCAGTCAAACGCGCCACCAGCTGGGGGGCAACTGGGGTACATAGGGCTCCACCCAAAATTACCGACAAAGATTTTTTAAAAATAATAAGCTAGCGATGAGTTAAGACTCACCACCAGCTTGGGGGGCAATTGTTGGGAGTGTTACTAAATACTCCACGCGCGGACTAAATAAGGGTGCGCTCAATCGGTAACGTGCTCCGGACGAACGCCACTACGAAGTATTTAAAGGCATGAAACTCCCCATTGAAGGGGGACCTTTCTCTCTCTCCTCACTTTCCACTTTCTACTATCTCTCTACACTTTATCTCTCTATCTATTCTCTCAACTCTCTCCACAAACATACACTAACTTGAGCGTCGGAGCTTAATCCGGGGGGCAACCCCGACTCTTTCACAGGTTTCTTCCCTCCCGACGAGATCAGACGAACGGATGACGAGTCAACCCACACAACAAATATCATTGTTCATGCCTCGAGCTAGTAGGTTCAAACAGTTATGATTGGACTTAACCGGTTTGACTCATATTTTAACTTATTATTACAATTCTCAAAGTTAAGAAACTGTTTGATTTGGGTCCAAAAGAACTTAATGAACAAATGAACTGAATCGATTGAAAACTTATTAGGATTTATGGGATTATTTTCCTAAATACAGTAATAATTAAAAGTAATTTCCAGAATACATCACTTTTATAAAAAAATTTCCTAACTACCAAAGTTTGACACGGTTTGAGTTCAATAAACTCGAACTAGTACCAGATCGACTGCCAAGCCATCGATCCACGTGCATCGAGTGAAAGGGCCACGATTGGCTGGCACAGGACGACGCGGATCGAGTTTATTAAACTCGATTTAGGTAGATCGAGTACAGAGGACTCGAACTAGCTGACATGGATCGATGACATAGGCAGCGCTCCACCCTCGATCGAGATATAAGGGAACGATCAACACCGTTCGATGGCCATATCCGCGATGAAGTGGTGACGCGGATCGAGTGGGCAGAACTCGATGCAAGTGGATCGAGTGCTTGGGAATTGATCTGCTAGACGCGGATCGATGACGTCAGACACGCACTGCCGTAGATCGAGTACTCCAAACTCGATCTGGGTCGTTCGATTTGCCATCCCTCGAGCTGCTTTTGACGCGGATCGAAGGCAGCAAAAATGATGCATTGGTTCGAGTCCCCTAAATTCGATCCACCTCCTCCCACAACACCTATAAATACCCCCTTCCATTCCACCAAAACTCACACCACTCCATTCTTCTTCCTCTCTTCCTCCCACCACTCATGAAGAAAAAAATATGCTCTGTGGTTGCGGCTAAGCCCGATCGTCCACATCAGATTTTTTTTCTTTAGTTTGGTACTTCTATCACTCAAAATTGTCGAGATGGACCCGAGTATTTACGATCCTAGATTATACATTCAAGGCGGACCGCGAGAAACCGATTTGTTGGATGAGCAACCTTACCATCGGTCTGAAAGTGTTTGGGCGGCAGATCCGGTAAGCACTTCCTCGTGTACTTTTCTTTTTTAAATGTGATAGTATTCTTCTAATTTTTTTTGTATAATAATTAATGTTTTTTTCTACAGGAACAACTTGACGTAATCACCAATCGGTCGCTATCTCGCTTGCCTAAATGGGATGATCGTATCGAGCCCTTCATTGAAAGAGCACAATTGCTGAGGGTGCGAAAGTTTGTGGGGGTGGAGATGGACAACAACCTTCTTACGCCAATGGTGGAAAGATGGAGAAAAGAAACGCACACATTCCACCTTCTGGAGGGAGAGATGACGATTACGTTGAAGGATGTGGCCATGCTGACAGAGCTTCCAATCGATGGTGACGCAATAATAGAAAGTTCACGGAAACAATTGAATGGTTGGGGCCAATTTATAAGCGAGCGTTTAGGCATCAACATCCACGAGGAAGCACCAGAAGGTCGTCGTGTACCACCTCTACACAAGTCTATGCTATTGATACCTTGGCTAGTGAGGACCGCTGGAGAATTACTGGAGGATGCCACAGATGCTCAGATAGAGTGGTATGCTCGCATCTACCTGATTTGTTTGGTTGGAGGATTTTTTCCGAACAAGTCTGGTGGAAAATATGCATTGTATGTGGCATCGAGTTCTTTTGGAAGATTGGGAGAAAAAGTTAGGGATCTGCTTGTTTGGGGATCTGCTTGTACGGACCCGAAAACAAAGCAAGTGAGTGGTCCCATGTTCATCCTCCAACTATGGGTTTGGGAGCACCTTCCTACTTTCGCTCCGATCTGCCCTGCCAACAGTTGGGGTCCCGAAGAGCCACTACGACAATGGGCTTATGGTCCTAGATCAGTGTTCAAGAACACCCGCCTAGGCGCATTTAGTAGCTAGGCGAGGAGGAAACGTGGAGAGGAAGCCTGGACGAAGTGGTTGGGCGCAATAAACGCGCAATCGCGTTGAAGAACGCCTAGGCGGCGAGTACTAGCTTGGATCGGCGATTCCAAGCTGTGGGCGACGCCCAGAAAAAAAAAAGACCATGCCGTGCGTTTTGGATGGGCCGAATTGGGGAAAACCCTAATGGGTTCTTCGATCAGCTGAGCAGCAGCCCTCCCACAGTCGACCGCCTCTCTCCTTCGTCACCTCTCTCCCTTCTCTCCAACAGTCGACCGTTCCAGCCGTCTCCAACAGTAGACCGCCTCCAGCAGGGGGCTTCGTCGCCGGCTGCAGCTTCTCCGCCAGTCTCCAGAATCGCGTGTCGTCGGTCTCCACAATAGCCAATCGCGCCTCGTCCTCGCCGTCGGTCTCCAGCATCGCCAGTGCCCATTTATGACTCGTCCTCACCGTCGGTCTTCAGCATCGCCAGTTCCCAGTCGTGACTCGTCCTCGTCGTCGGTCTATAGCATTGAAGGTACTCACTCTTCTTTCTCTTTCGATTGATTCTCTAGCTTCTTTTCATCTTTAGGCTTTAGATGATAAAGAGAATAAGAATTGGCATTTGCAGGGGGCTGCTTGATTAAACTGTGTGTCAAGAGGCTAATTAAATGTGTGTCTCTAATGATTTGAAAGGCTGTTGAAAATGTGTGTTTGCGAAGCCTAGTAGATTGCTAATTCAGAGACATGATTTGAAAGGCTACTGAAAATGTGTGTTTGCGATTACAGGGGTTGCTTGTTTTTTTGTTAAATGGAGCAGATAGAGGCTACTGTCATGGCTTCAACGGTTGAAAATGCGAACTCCTTGAAGAGGAAGTCTGATGATATTGGTTGGGAATATGGAAAGCTCATCGATCCATACAACAAGGATAGAGTCATGTGTAACTTTTGCAAGAATGTAAACTCAGGAGGAATTAACCATTTCAAGAAACACATTGCTCAGGTTGGTGGTGGAGTTGCCAAGTGTAGGAGTTTCCCAGATAAAGATAAATTGGCATGCTTGAAATGGTTGGAATGAACATAAAAGAAGAAGCAGGATAAGGTTGTTCGTGAGCTAGGTTTGAGAAGTGATGTTAATGTCTCTTCCGGTGGACAACAGGAAGAAGACCTTACTTGTGCAGGTAGCTCTGAACCTCACAAGTTAGGTCCTATAGACAAGTGGGCACGTGCCATTGATCCTAGCTTGTCTTCGAGTGCATCATTTCAGTAACAAAAGATAAATCAAGCACTTTTTAATGAGAGGACACTTCAAGTCAATCAATATATTGCAAAATGGGTGTACACACATGGTTAGTGCATAGCTATACCCTTTACTTCTTTATTAGATGCACAATTTGGTTTTCTAATTTACTCCTGAATTTATTTTGTAGTTGTTGCATTCAATGCCATTGAGAATGATGAGTTCAAGCAAATGGTTGAGGCTATTGGTCAATTTGGTCCTGGATTGAAGCCTCCTACACAGTATGAGCTTCGAGAGCCTTTGTTGAAAGCTTAGTATGCAAGGACTAAGAGCTTGTTAAGTGATCGAGAGGCGGAGAAGGAAAAGAATGGTTGCTCTACTATGACTGATGCTTGGACAGACATGAAGAGGAGAAGCATCATGAACATAGTCACACATTGTGCCGAGGGAACCAGCTTTATAAAGTCGAAGGACACATCAGCGATTTCTCACACAGGTGAAGTAATCTTTGAGCTAGTAGACAATGCAATCGAGAAAGTTGGAGCTGAACATGTGGTGCAAGTGGTGACAGACAATGCTTCCAACAATATGGCAGCAAAGGCCCTCTTGTTGGAGAAGAGGCCGAACATATTTTGGAGTTCTTGTGCAACCCACACCATCAATTTGATGCTCCAAGGAATCGGCAACATACCAAGGTTCAAGAAAATTGTAGATCAAGCTAAGGGGTTCACCATCTTCATATATGGCCACCACCGCACCTTGGAATGCATGAGATCCTTCACCAAAAAGAGAGAGATCATCCGACCAGGTGTGACTCGATTTGCTTCTCAATTTCTTACTCTGCAAAGTTTGTTGGATAAGAAAGATTCTTTGAGGAAGATGGTGGTGGATGCGAAGTGGGAAAATATTAAGGAGACGAGTTCAAAGAAAGGCAAGGAGGCTTATGACACGGTTCTTAGTGTTAGGTTTTGGAATGGTGTGGAAATTTGCTTGAAAGTCTTTGAGCCAGTGGTGAAGCTTCTTCGATTAGTGGATGGGGATGTGAAACCTTCTATGGGTTTTGTGTATGGTGAACTTTGAAGGCAAAGAGAGAGATAAAGGAGGCGTTTAAGAATGAAGAACTTCGTTACAAAGAAGTCATTGCTATTGTGGAGAAGAAGATGAGAGGCAGACTTGATGCTCCATTGCATCTAACGACATATCTTCTCAATCCTCACTACAGTTATGCCGACTCCTCAATATTTGACAATGTCGACATTACAACAGCATTGATCACTTGTGTTGAGCAATTCTACCATGGTTGTGATGAGGATATACATGATGAGGTGGTGAACAAACACTAAATCAAAATTTCAAAGGAAACAAGGACTCTTTGGAAAAAAGATGACAAAGAATTGTGTAAACTTTGACTACAATCCTGGTTAGTACTTCTTTCCACCTTTCCTTGTAACTTATGATTTAGTGTCGTTCACTAACTTAGAGTTAATTAATTTCTTGGTGGCTTGTTGGAGAATGTATGGAAGTGAGACACCTCATTTGCAAAAGATGGCTATAAGGATTATGTCATTGACCTCAAGTTCTTCTGCTTGTGAGGGAAACTGGAGTACTTTTGAGTCGGTTAGTAGTTTTGAATTTGTGTCCATATGCTATATAGTAAAAGTAGATATTAGATGGAACATGGAAGCTTGTATAATCAATTGTCCTTGCATATTCATACCAAGAAGAGGAATAGGCTTACTACAAGTCGCATGAATCAACTAGTGTACATCTAGTTCAACTCTAGATTGATTTCTAAGCAAAGGAAGATAAAGGAGAGGAAGAATGTTGATGTTCTCATAAGTTCTGATTCAATTGAAGCACAAGGCTTTCTATTTGAGGGAGGAGATAGTCACACTTTGCATGTGTTTGGTGATGAAGATGATGAAGGTTTTGATGGCATTCCATGGAATGTTATTGATGAGGCAAGGGGAGCTAGTGAGAATCTTCAACCTCGCAGGAGTGCCAGATTAGTGAGAGACCTTGCCGATGAGGAGTTTGAGTCTGAAGAAGATGATGACGAGGAAAGTGAGGCCATTCATTTCGAGGAGGATGAGGAGGATGTTGTGGTTAACAAGAACTATATGGATGAAGATGATGAGTGATCAACTTGGAGTTTATTAACTTGTCATCGCCTTTATGGCTTATCTTAACATTTGTCATGTTTTATTATGTTTGTTTCCTTCTATGTTACTACTAGAATGATTGTTATCTTGAATATTGTCAGTTACAGAACTGCAAATCAGTGAACTTATGAATGTTATGTTTGATCTTGCACTCTAAACTTACATATTTATCATTTTTTTCCGATGTTTAATCTCGCCTAGGCAACGACTAATCGGCCTGGGTGCTGGAGCGGTGCCTCCTCGCCTAGGTGGCACCCATCGTCTTCTTGAACATTGTGCTAGATGGATTGGAGCTATCACGAGACTCACCTCTCTAGACGGGTACCGCCAACATCGTGACCGTATAGAATTCAACGAGGTAACATTCTAGCTTATGATTATCAATGCTAATTTATTTCTTGAAATTATTTTTCTTAGCCCATGATTTATTTTATGATTACGAATTCTATTTTATTTGTTGAAATTATTTGTCTTAGCCCACGATTTATTTTTATGATTACGAATCCTTTTTTATTTGTTGAAATTATTTGTCTTAGCCCATGATTTATTTTTATGATTACGAATCCTTTTTTATTTGTTGAAATTATTTGTCTTAGCCCATGATTTATTTTTATGATTACGAATTCTATTTTATTTGTTGAAATTATTTGTCTTGGCCCATGATTTATTTTTATGATTACGAATTCTATTTATTTGTTGAAATTATTTGTCTTAGCCAATGATTTATTTGTATGATTACGAATCCTTTTTTATTTGTTGAAATTATTTGTCTTGGCCCATGATTTATTTTATGATTATGAATCCTATTTATTTGTTGAAATTATTTTCTTCGATTTTAATTTATTTGTTGTGTTGAAACTTAGGTGGAGTGGGATCCGTATCCGAACGGAGCAAAGGATTGTACGAGTTGCGATACCCTGAGGATCGTTGACTCTGGTCTTGCAAGTTGCCTGTGATTTGCCACAACATTGTCGAGTGGCACCTCCCGAATAGATGTGTCCAACAATATAATTGGGCGCAACCGATTCCTCTCCCACCACCGGACGTACATAAGTCATTCCACAAGTACAGCAAGGATCTGCGGGGTACAATCAGGGATTGGCCAACCAAGCACCATAGATGGATTGAAATGTGGGAGTCTCGTCAGACGTATGCAATTGATGGCATCACAATGACGAGGCCAATGGAGTACCAAGATGAATACATGGTTTGGTACCGCAAGTTCACAAAAAGATGGGTAACCAAACGTGGCGCCGTGATCGATTCTTTGGTAAGCACAATATCTATTTACTATAATCACTTTAGCTACACAAAGAGTGTTTGACTAACATGTTTATTATTTAGGTTGATGGGTTGGAACTTGCATCAATGACGTTGGAGAGTGAACCAGAACAAAATGTGCCACCTGAGAAAATTTCATTCTTGAAGAAGCTCTTCAAGAATCTCTTGTCATGTTCGCGGGAAATCCGAAGAGATGTCATTGCATATCCTCCTGCACCGCCACATTCTTCCTCCCATGCCATTGAAGTTGAATCCCTCCCGCCATCGCCACCAAGGAGGAGTAAACTTCGGCAAGAGCCACTTACAGTCCCTATGCAAGTACGAGAAGATGTGGCACTTCCTAACCCATACGAGTATGGATTCCCCCCCCCCCCCCCCCCCCCCCCCCCCCCCCCCGCCAGAAGGGAATTCGGAGAGGGATCATCAGGTCCTGCTCAAGGAGGGGGAGGAGGAGCCAACTATGCTCCCTCGTATGGTCCTTAATTCCAAACCCCGTAGCAAAGCTTCCAGCCTCCGATGACAAATGTTTATTATGGTTCTTACCAGCGTGCCAAACTGCACGTTGTCCATAAGTTCTACCAAAGTGCTTCCCGTAATTTCTTTTGAAATGACGTATGTACCAGCGCCACTTCCACCCTAGCTCCTCGGGCAAGTCGTAGAAAGCATGTGCAATTCCATGGTGTCGATCAGAAAGTATGACAATGTCCTTCCGTTGAGTGACACGAGTGTATATTTGGGATAAAAACCATGCCCAACTTAAGTTGTTCTCCGATTCGAATATAGCAAAAGCAAGCGGGAAAAGTTGCATACTGCCATCAACACTAGTGGCAACGAGTAGAGTGCGCTTGTATTTGCCGGTCAGAAAGGTGCCATCAACTTGGATTATTGGCAGACAATGGGTGAAACCATCAATGCATGGTTTGAATGCCCAAAATAGTCGCTTAAACACGCGTTTAGCACCCCATAGAAATCTTCGTAACTAGGCACAAAAACAGACCCGGGATTCTTGTCCACCATTGCAAGAATCAAACGAGGCATGTTAGCAAATGACTCTTCCCAATCGGCATACACCTCTTCCACGTCGCTTGCCTCGCTAGTGTATGGAGGACTTGGTTTATCCACATACGGATCATTGTTGATGCCAGATGCTAGTGTAGATGCTTGTCTGGATGCCTGTCTAGGTGCCCTTATGTAATCCCATTCTTCACCCCATACTGGCCACTCCTGTCCGTCATGTTCCACCAATGGACCAGGTGCAGTTCGATCCTCATATGTTGGCCGTGGTGCATCATGCAGAACTCTGAAATCTCCTGAACCGGAAAACCCTCCTGATCCTTCACATTGTTCGGTATAACCGTCGCCACCATATTGGCCAACAACTTCTGTCTCGACATACACCTCAGCAGTTGGAAATCTGTTCTCTGCAATAAATCTCACCATCATATTAATGTCATCATCATCAGACAGAACTGATCCTTTATATACAAGTGCATAATCCTTGTAAACCGACATACGGTAAGTCATCTTGCATACTCTTCGCCCTCCTATGCAACATCGTTCCACACAAATATGGCTGAGTTCTTGCCAGTTAAATATGCTCTCAATCCGGACAGTACTTGATTCACCATCTTCGTAGCCAACACTATTATGAAAATGTATAATTTGACCATTCCACCGAATCAATAGGTCAAATTTTCGAAATTTTCTACCCATTTCTACAGTTTATAGAAGCATCTCATTACATACAGTTCAAACAATACTAAATTAATCCAAAATTCTAATATGCTCATTCAAACAACATAAGCAGAACTTACCTCCAAAAATTATCTTCTTTGCTCAGTTATGGTGCTCCAGCTGCTGCAGTTTGTTTTTGGAAGAAAGAAGATAGAAAGTATAAGAGCTGCCAAAATGTGCTAAGTGCTTGCTTTTTATCCTCGTAAACTGATGCAGTGGTTCGAGGCCAAAGAACTCGAACTACAGTAGTTTGAGGCCAGAAAACTCGATCAAGGGCAACCAATAATTTTACCCCTGCACCCTATTCTGGAGCATGTCGGACCGAAAGCGGCTGGACAGGATGATTGAACAGTGGTTCGGGTCCAGGGTAATCGAACTACGCTAGTTCGAGTCCCTAGAACTCAATCTTGTACAACAAAGAATCTTATCCCTGTAACCATATCCTGAAGCATGTCGGGGGAAAGTGACATTGTAGATAATTGATCAGTGGTTCGGGGCCATAGGAATCGATTATTGTTGTTCTAGTTTTAAGGTATCGATCTAGTGTAGATATGGATCGAGGCTTCTAAAGTCGTTTTACTTGATTGAGTTTTTTGGGATCAATCTAACTGGATCGAGTTGTCAAAAGTCGATCTAGTATGATCGAGTCCTTTGTCATCGATCTACTTTGATCGATTCTTCCAAAATCGTTCTTTACCTGATCGAGTTTTAAGAACTCGATGTGGGGTAAGTTCGAGTTCTTCATCGTCGATCTATGTTGTTGTTCGAGTTAATGGCACTCGAACCCTTTAAAACTTGGGTTGTTTGGGAAAATTTTATAAATCTTATGTATTATGAAAATTATGTTTAATTAATCTTGTATTCTGGGAATTAACCATATTAGGGGTAGTATGAGATCGAGCGAGAAAATTACTCGTTGATCGAGGTAGAACGAAAGCATGGACCGAGGAGCTCTCTCCTCTCTCCTCAAGTTTGTTTGGTTGAAGATCGGGATCGTTATTGCGGCGGCCGGCGGAATCATCGGTAGATTGATCTGCCGGATTCTTGAAGAAGCGATTACAAACCAGGGAGTGCAAGATTGTAGCTGGATCGAGGGACTCCTTGCACCGCAGGTTCCTGGCCATCGAGATTGCATATCTCCGGATACTGGAGTACAGCGGCGGCATGCATCCGCTAATAGGCGTCCAAGAGGTTGGAGAAAACAGGGGGGTAGGGGACGCTGCCTCCCCAAACGGCGAAGAAGGCTAG